GACAGGGTCCATTATCTTCCCACCATCCCAGTGTAATTAGGATGACCCCCTCACAACCTGGGAGGCCTGAAGGCTGTCAGGTCAGCCCAACAGCTCGTAAGGTCTTTACCATTGTTGCTACACAGCAAGACCATGCCTTAGAACGAAGGGAGAAAAATGAATAGATGGTTTAGTGGTAAAAGGACTTGCTGCTTTTCCAGAAGACCTGAGTTCAAGTCTCAGTATTGGGTAATAGCCTCAGGTCATGAAGAATTGAATCAGGCTTTTCGGGCAATAGCCCTTAGCCATAAAGAATGGCTTAGCCCCAGCCTGACCTCTGCTCCACCTGCAGAAACAATGTGCCTGGGTATTAAAACCAACCCTGCTCCCACCCAAACCACAAAAAACACTGTAACTTCCTATGTATGTGTGTATGTATATATACACTTGTCTTCCAGCCCCGCTAAATGCACTCAGCCTTCATCCCATGGAAATGTTGGGGCTCCTTGCTGTCCCAATAAAGCAGTCTCAGCCTGTTGAAATGAAGTCTGTCTGCCTCTCTGCCTAATTTTTCTTACACTCAACACCCACAAGATTCACAATGGCCTGCAGCCCCAGCTTTATGGGCTCTGACCCTATCCTTTGGCCTCCAAGACCCTGCCTGGCCTGTCCTTGGATTCACATACACACATGAGGGAGAGATGGCTAAGTGGTTAAGAGCACGGGCTGCTCTTTCACAGGGCCTAGGCTCCATTCCCAGCACCTACATGTTGGCTCACTACCATCTGTAACTCCATTTCCAGAGGAACACACACACACACAACTACAAGGCTCCTGTGGCTGTGAACAATCCCAGCACCGGAAAGGCAGAGGCACACAGATCTTTGGAGTCCCCGGCCAGTCTAGTCTCCATAGCCGGCTCCAGTCTGTCAGGAAATTCCTTTTCCCAAATTCTGCCAGTTAGACGAAAGCCAACATTCCTCAGGAACTTATGAAACTGGTTGTCATCTACCAAAGAGCCACTTCCCTTAGATCTGGAAGAAGGGACTATGGCTACCTGTGGCACTTCCCAGCCAATCAAAGTTCATGCTGGCCGGCAGGCTTCCTCAGCATCACAAGCACCTGTTACACATTTCAAAGCCCACGCTAGCATCCCGGCCCTTTTCCCCTTCTCGCCTGGAGAGATGGCTCAGTGGTCCCTTCTCCTCTACCCCAAACTCCCTCTAGCTTTCAGCTACACAGTCTCCTTATAACCCGGCTATTCTCCGTGTTCTCTCCGCTCTGCTCCTGCTTCTCTCGCCGTGTTTTCTCTATTCTCTATCCCCATCTCTCCCAGACAGCCTGGCCAGGTCCAGGTTACTTTCTCTCTGCTCTGGACTCGACTAGATGCCTCTGACTGTCCTCTCTTTCATATATACGACAAAAATTTTCCCCTTAGCCATACTATGGAGAGGTCATGTCGTCAGCTTATACATTTTCCAGCCCCTAAAATAATAATAAATCTTTAAAACAACAACAAAACAAAAGTTTGTCCTTGCGTCCTTTGGTGACCCACAGATTCGAACCCTTCGCTCTCCATCCCCTCTGGACTCAGGACTGACTGTCTCCTCCAACCCTCAGCCAGAGCTAACAGTTCGGATCCTTTCTCTTCCCTTTCCCTCAATTCTCCAGAACTGTGTCTGGCTCAAGGACACCAATTCCCTTAGAGCAGACCAGTGCACCAGCTTCTCCACCCTCAACTAAAACCGCCTCGACGTAGTGCTGCACCAACCAATCGGATGCGGCAACATCGGCACACGGGAGGCGGGACCTCTGGCGGACGCCGCCGTTGCCCTTTAGTGTCCGGGCGGAGCTTCCGGCGGGCTTGCTGCGATTGCCTACGACCCAGCATGAGCCGGCCCAGCCGGCTGCAGAGGCAAGTTCTGAGCTTGTACCGAGAGCTGCTGCGCGCCGGGCGGGGAAAACCGGGCGCCGAGGCGCGGGTGCGAGCCGAGTTCCGGCAGCACGCCAGCCTTCCGCGCTCCGACGTGCTGCGTATCGAGTATCTGTACCGCCGGGGACGGCGCCAGCTACAGCTGCTGCGTTCCGGCCACGCCACGGCCATGGGTACCTTCGTGCGCCCGCGGGGCCCGACGGAGGAACCCGGCGACACGGCAACCCAAGGGACCACGCGTAAGGATAGCGATGGCCCAAAGAGTCCTTGTGAAGGCGCAGGAGCACAGGAGACGCGATCCGATGGACGGTGACAGACCCAGAGAATGGTCCCTCCGGACAGTTTAGGGAAGACCGAGACCTCATCTGATTGAAAGTATGTCTTGAGAGACAGCCGAATGTTCTTGATGCATGGTGAAAGATTCGACACTCCCTCACCAAGAAGGTTCCAGGCATGCCGTGGCAACGGTAGGCTGCACCATGTATGCTGTGATGCACTAACCCAAAGTCAAAGAGACCACAAACGCACTTCCTCCTCCCCACGGGGAGCCTAGACACCTCTTTTCTTCTGAGAACACACCCACCCCGCTATCTTGAGGGCATGCCCTTTGCTCTTTCTAACACGGAGAAAATCAGACTTTTAACTGAGCAAGTTTAATAAATACCCTCAGGAACCATGAGAAACTGGCAGTCCGGAGTGGAAAAACGTTGTCCCACGCATTGTGCCAACACAGAATTGTAAGAGAGCGTGGACAGTAGCTCATCAGAGCTGATCAGCCCAAGGCTCTTGGAGAATCCCTCCTGGGTGTTCTAGGAGGCAATCCCTACTCCTGTTTGTCTTCCTCAGAATTCTTGTAGAAAGGAAATAAACGTGAGGTGTGCTTACTTTCTTGACAATTTTCTTAAGGTTTTCTGTCCTGCTGGGTGGTGGTGGTGCATGCCTTTAGTGGGATTATTGGGAGGCAGAGGCAGGCAGATCTCTGTGAGTTCGAGGCCAGCCTGGTCTACAGAACTAGTTCCAGGACAGGCTCCAAAGCTACATAGAGAAACCCTGTTCTTGAAAACCCGGCCGGGGGGGTGGGGGGGGGGTCTATCCTTAGGGATTTGGGGGTTTTGTTGTTGTTGCTATTTCTTTTGAGACACAGTCTTACTATGACGTAGCCTAGGCTGGTATCAGCATTGAGTTCCTTCTGCCTCAGCCTCTAAACTCTGGAAGATCAAGCCTGTACTGCCATGCCAAGGGTCGTGAGGCTGGTGGGAACAAAAGGGAGGAATGTGGGGCTCCAGCTGAGGCTTGCTGTGTGTCAGAAAAAGAGACTATTACTCTATTTACATGTGGCTGTTACCTCATTTGCTACCCCTCGCCATGGGGTGTTAGTTACCTGTTCGTGCCTCATTTTTGTTCATCAAGATGATCTTGATTGGTTTAGTTTTTGTTGTTTTTGAGACACAGATTGACGTATCACAGGCTGGCCTCAGTCTGGCCATGTAAGCGATGATGTACTCCCAGAGCGCTAGGACCACAGGCATGTTCTGCCACAACCCGTGCTGGTGTGTTTGCTTTGTGGTTCTAAGCATGAACCTAGCTGGGGACTTAGGCTTGCTAAGCAAGTGCTCTAACCACTGAACTTCACCTGCTCTTGGTGCCATGAGCTACATAGAGATACTTTATATGAAGAGAGAGAGAGAGAGAGAGAGAGAGAGAGAGAGAGAGAAGGCCGTAGTAATGCACGCCTTTAATCCCAGCACTTGGGAGGCAGAGACAGGCAGGTCTTAGTGAGTTCAAGGCCAACTTGGTCTACAAAGTGAGTTCCAGAACAGCCAGGACTGTTACACAAAGAAACCTTGTCTCAATAAACCAAAAAGAAAGAAAGGAAGGAAGGAAAAGAAAACAGGGCCAGAAAGATAGATCAGTGGATAAAGGAGTTTGGTGCCAAGCCTGACGAACTGAGTTCAAATCCTAGGGACCACACAGTAGAAGATGAGGACTAACTATGGCAATTTGTCCTTTGATGTCCACATGCATGTGTGCATGCACATAAATCACTAGATAAATGTATTTAGAAAAATAGCCCATAAGGAAAGATTCTCTGATGCATTCCTTAGCTACTGGTTTACACTCACGCTTAGCGTAGAGTCTCCTAGAAGCCACTGCTTCCCAGATCCTTAGTACCCGTTTGTGTATTTCCAGTAACCATTTCAATTTTCTTTGAAGACAAACTTCCTCTTTAGTCTCCATGGTCCCAGCAGAACTGTGGCCCCCGGTGAAGGTAGAACATGAGGTATAAGCCAGAGGAGCCCTGCTTGGGACTTTGTGTGGAAGTTTAAAGGGAAAGGGACGCTATTGGCTGCTAAATTGATGGGACAATCTGGCCACTAGGTTATGAACAAAGTGGGGGCGGGTGCAGAGATGGAGACACCATTTGGGATTTGGTTATGCCAGAAGTCATGAATTTCTCAGTTACCCACACAACTAAATTCCCATTCCATTAAAGTCAGGGCAGACTTGGCTTTAGTCACTTGATCCTGTGTGGCCTCAGCCCTGATTTCTGTTTGCCCCTGGCTACAGTGGGTCTTGTCAGGGTTCTGGGAATTCAAGGTGTATGTTCTGTGTGCAGCTTGGAAACCCACACAGAGTGAAGCTGTGTACATCTGGAGCCAGCCAGGGAGGAGGAGCTGTGCTCAGTGCACATCTGGGGCCAGCACAGGGAGGAGGGGCTGTGCTCAGTGTACATCTGGAGCAGCACAGGGAGGAGGGGCTGTGCTCAGTGTACATCTGGGGCCAGCACAGGGAGGAGGGGCTGTGCTCTGTGCACATCTGGAGCAGCACAAGGAGGAGGGGCTGTGCTCAATGTACATCTGGGGCCAGCACAGGACTCCGCCTCATTCCTACCTCTTCCCCTGTACCTTAGGCTTGAGACTAGACTAGCCTAGTGTCAAGACCTCAGGAGTCTGTACTAGAGGTGTGGCTCAATGGTGGAGTACCTGCCCGGCATGTGCCAGGCCCTGGGTTTCATTCCCAGCAACACAGAACAGGAACTTTTTTTTTTAAGATTTATTTATTTATTTTGTATACAGCATTCTGCCTCCATGTATGCCCGCATGCCAGAAGAGGGCACCAGATCTCATTACAGATGGTTGTAAGCCACCATGTGGTTGCTGGGAATTGAACTCAGGACCTCTGGAAGAGCAGCCAGTGCTCTTAACCTCTGAGCCATCTCTCCAGCCCCAGAACAGGAATATTAACTAGGCCTGAAGGCACACATCTATAATCCCAGTCCTCTGGAGGTTGAGGAAAACTGGGGGTTCAAAACTGCCCTGGCCTGTGTGGTAAGACCCTACCAGGGAAAAATATCTCCCAGAAAAGAGGGTGTCTCACAATTCTGAGCTAGTGATAACTCAGCCTGCACACCCTCCCTGTAGAATGTGGGCACATCCCCAGAATGAATGTGAGACCGCATGGGTGTTGGCTGCTCACCCACCTGCCTCAGCCTCGCACCTGCCTCTAACTTCCGGTGGCAGGTGCCATCTGCGCTATTCTTTTTCTCCCAGCCCCCAGAGACGAAGTGTTCACGGAAGGATAGGCAGACAGGACATATTAGGGAGTCTGCCTTCCCAGGAAGAGACCTCTCTGGGGAGGTGTGGAAGCCTGGAACAAGTTCGAGTGTGCTCCCTATGGTTTCCCAGGGTCCCCAGCCATTTGGTACTCTGGGTACCGATAGCAGCCACCAGCTTCCTCCCTTTCCTGGACCGCATCCTCCTCTCCTACCACTCTTCCTTTTGTCAGCTCTGGAACCAACAGCTTGGGCTTTAATCTTGCATTACAGTCTGGGAAACCTCAATTAAGGTAGGATCCTCCAGTCCTGTGTTCTACCCTCAGACACAGGAGTGTAGAAGAGGCCGTCGAAACATATCCAGGCTGTCTTGTCTCTGTTTCCAAGTTCTCAAAACACTCAATGTTTTCAGCCATCTTTGGAAAAGTAACCATTTAATGCACATGTCTGGACCATGGACTCAGATTGGAGGGAGACCATTGACATAGCTGAGCACCAGGTAGGGCGTCCTGGCCAGTCGGGCATGAGGACAGCAGGGGACCCCTGACAAGGGCAGCAACAATGTGGCACCCACCAGAAGGAAGAAGAGAAGGAGAAAGAAGAGCGTCAGGGGTCGCCTGGAAGCAGAAGCCGGGACCCTGAGAAGAGACAGATTATTGAGACGGGTGGGCTGCCACCATGACCCCTCTTGCCCACATCCCTGCCCCATTCTCACCTGGGATCCACCTCCAGCATCACATCCGGTGGACTAGGAGACGCTTGTCTCTTCTTGTCCTGTGGGAGACAGGAGCCAGCAGCTCAATGAATGGCAGTGACACTTACGTGGGGACATTCTCTCTCTACTCTAGACCTACAGGGCTACCTTTATTTCTCCTTTCCTGGCACTCTTGAACTGCACATGAATTTATAGTGTGGTAGGTGTCTGCCCATACCTGTCCTTCGTGTGTCCACTGCCCTTTTCCTGATAACATTGCTGGGATGGTGTGTGGGTGCCTAAACTGACTTCCACTCTCCCCTCTTCTGTGATGGAACACATGACTCAGACCTGGCCAATCAGAGCACTCTGACTAGTTCCAGGGTGCAGCCTGTGACCCAAGATGGCCAGGTGAAGTCAGGCCTGGGACTTCGGCCACTGCTAGTAGGTCAGGGGTCATAAGGGTAGGTTGGTAAAGCAGAGAGAAGGGACTGTAGTGACTGGGGATGGAGAGGAGGCCAAAAGACAGAGATGGAGCCCTGATAACATTTTAGGTCCTGAATTCGTGACGTGTGTGGCGGTCAGTATGGACTGGATCTCTTTTATTTGCCGTCAGCATCCTCCACTGTCCTGGCTCACCTGAGGCTTCCGGAGATGCCTTCGGTGGTGAGCTGCTAAATGTTTCCGGTGGCCGAGCCCCAACGTGAGCAGGTCCTGTGGGAAGAGAAAGGCTCGTGGTTCTTGGAAGACTGGAAGCATGGTTTACAGAAGGCTCTGGAAGGAGACAAAATTATGCAGGCACACAGCTCTCATGGGGAAATCAGAGGGGCGGAGCCCAAGAAACCAAGAAGAGAGAAACTACTTATTCATTCACTCAACAAATATTTCATGAGTGTCTGTTACACACCCAGGCACAGTTCTAGGAGACGTGGTGAGGATGAAAATGGGCAACATCCTGGCCCCTGGGGAGATGAACATTCTACCCGAATTAACAAGTGAATGGATATCAAGCTGCGGTGAGGAGTGTCAGGAAATAATGGGTCACATCAGCTCTCTGGAGAGGCTGGACTGAGAGGGGAGAGGTGAGCTGGGCATGCATCCAGGGCTTAGGTGGGAGTGAGGCTGGTGTGCTCGGAGGGGCAGGATTGTGTTTGTGGCACAGGGAAGAGCAGAACGACAGGACGAAGGTTAAGAGGAAAGAGAAACAGAGCAGAAGAGAATCATGGTGACGTTTATGGTGGACGTAGATAGGTGGGCATGCCGGTGCATGCCTATAATCCCAGCACTTAACAGACTAAGACATGAGGATTGTGAGTTCAAAGCCAGCCTGTGCTGCATAACGTGAATTGTCTAAAAGGAGCGAGGCAGAGAGGCTTAGAGGGGGAGACAGAACCAAGTCCTCCTAGAAAGACAGCCACACTAAAAAGTGCAGAAATACCCTATGGTGCCCAGCCAAGTAGGGGGGCCTTTGGGGGGACAAATCTCACCTCAAGGCCCTGTCCGCTGCCCTGGGGTCCCCTGTAGCCACACAGCTCACAGGGAACTCCTGGTATCCGAGATATCTTCTTCCCTGAGGGCCCAAGACCCCCAACATCCCCTGCTGGGTCCCATTCCAACTCTGCAGGAGTCGGGAAGGTACTAGGTGCCCAGGGCCCCCAGATTCCACCAGGTGTTGGCCCGTCTGAGTCTCCCTCAACTTCCAAGTCCTGGTCCAGGAAGTTGGCCTTCTCAAGCACCTGGAGCAGAAGGTAGATGTCATGGGAGTTGGGGGATTAGGTCCTGGGCTGGGGACGACCAGGGCAGACCCTACCAGGCTATAGCTGATCAGCTGGGCCTGTAGCTGCCAGAGTCGTTGGAAGATGGTATCTCGGTGGGTTCCAAGGGCCCTCAGGACCCGCTCCAGAGATGCCCAGGCCCTGGGCTCACTCCTCTCTGCCAACCCCTCACCAAATGCCAGTAATGCATCCACACGCTCTGCTGCCCCTCGTAGCTCTGCCTGCAGGGCCTGAGACAGACGGTTAGACACTCTCACACATTGACAGTGATACCAGACCCCCCCAAACCTGGAGTTATCTCCTCCTCCATGCCCTATGCAGAAGTCGGAATATGTACTAACCCCACATTCCACCCCAGGAAGCTTGCACCCGTGCCTAGGACTCTGCCTGCTCTCCCATATCCTAACCTTCCCCTGCCCACCTGCAGCTGGACCATCCTGCTGTGGGCCAGTGTCCATGATCCCAGGCCTTGTTCCAGGTCCTGTAGCTGGAAGCTCAATCCCAACAGACAAAGATGGAGACTGTCCTGCTCAGTTTCTAGTACTTCCAGGCCAGAGACAGCATGCTGAGGATTCCAGGGGCCAAGTCAGGGCCAGTGGGCCAACGCGACACACCCTCTCCCATCCCGGCTGCTGCTCTGTGGATGCTTTTCTGGAGCACTGCCCATCTCCAGAGCAACCTGGGGCTGCTCCCACTGAGCAGCCTTTCACCCCAAGGCTGGAGACAACTAAATCAAGATCTTCAGGCTCTCGAGCCTATAAGAAACCTCTTCATACTGGTCTAAACTGGGAGGGATAATGGAGCAGAATGAGGCTGTACTAAGGCCATTAATGAAATTATGATGTCCAGCTTGGCAATAGAGATACATACTTAAAATCCCAGCTCTCTCAGGCAAGAGAACTGAAGGTTCAAGGCCAGCCTGAGCTACACAGTGAAAGCCTGTCTAAAATAGGGAGGTGGGGGAAGCTGGCTCAGTGGATAGTGTTTTCTGTGGTGACTCGAGTTTGGATCCCCAGAACACAAAGAACCAAGCGTGTGGCACCGTTCACCGCCAGTGCTGGAGAGGTCGAGGCCGGCGGGTCCCTGTGGCTCACTGGCCAGCCAACCTGGCCAAATCAGTGGGAGACCCTGTCTCAGAAAATACAGTGGAGAGTGTCTGAGCGACATTGCCCTGCTGGGCTCCACGGGCATGTGCACCTGCCCTCATTTATGCACACACAATAAATACACAAAGATTTAAAAACATTTGCAGTACTTCTGTGCTGATTAGCAAATAAATATCCTTACAGTGTCCCTTCCCCCCACTGACACCCAACACCTCCTCCGAATTATTTGTTCCTAGAGCAAGAGGCATATTCTAGGGACCGGAGGAAGTGGGACTGGCCCAAAAGGTGTGGCCAGCTCACCTCACGGGGCTTGCCCCCATCTTGATGCTCACGGGAAGAGGCCAGGGGTAGTCTTGGGGCGCTGCTGGCAGGCTCAGTGTCCTTCAGTTCACCTGTGACGTGTTCAGGAGGGCCCAAGGAGGCCTGGGCCTGCTCTGACCTAGAGATAGGGAATGCTGATGGGCCCTGTGTGAGCCACTGTACCTCATTTTCCACCCAAACCCCATTCCCAGTGTCCTCCACGTCTTTACTCAATCATGGTCGCATGTGGCCCTTTCCACGGTCCCCTCCCTTGGAGCCAGATATCAAGCCCCAGTCCCCACCTGTTTGTCTCCTCTGCAGGCATGATGGTCCATCCAGCAACGTCCAGCTCCCTAGGAGCACCCTGAGGCTGACTGAGGGGCTCTGAGGAGAATCCATGGCCAAGAGCTGGGAACAGGGCCATCGCTGTGGAGGGGGGGGGGGCAGTCAGGTGAGGACGTCGGTCAGCGACTTCTTCTCGGCCAGGCCCCCGTGCTTCTTCCTCAGCAGGCTATTTCCAAGCCAGAGGCTACAGAGAGGCCCAGGGGCCGGCCTGGCTCCACCCCTTCCAGCAGGAACCTGGACCCAAGAAACCTGATGCCCTGATGAGGTAGATACTTAACTCCTTCCTCCCCAGCAGGAGAGCCTAACCTTCCCAAATAACCACCCCACTCCCACCCCGGCCGCAGCCATCCCTTTGACACAGAAAACTCCACTCATCCCCTCAAACCCAGCATCCTGTCACCTTCAGGGACCCACGTATCTGACCACCGGGGCACATTCCTTTGTCTAAGCACCTGGTAACTCAAGCCTGTCTGTCATTTTAGGCTAGAGGATCTCATGTTCAAAGCCAGCCTGGGCAACTTGTGGAGAGCCTGCCTCAAAACTAAAAAAAGGAAATTGTTGCTAGGGTTATAGATTAGCTGAGCAGCGCTAAACTATATATGCTATATATAAACAACATTTGTCCAGCATCCAAGAAGCTCTGGGTTCTATCCCCGGTACTGGAGAGGGGGCGGGGAGGAAGGAAACCACAGCGTCTGTTCCCACCTAGTAAAAAATCCAAAACAAGAAAAGGTATTTTCGGTTTATTTGGAACGGCGTCCTCTCCACGGTTTCCACAGTTACTGGAAAAATAAATAACCCTGGACGGCCACCTCTACCCTAGGGTTCCAAGGCCACAGAACCGGCAGGACTTGAGCTTCACTTGCTCAGCAGGAGGCTGGCGCGCAGCACGCGGGGCACGCGGCGAATGGTCAGGGAGACGCGGGTGCCGCGCACCAAGTGGGCTCCGGGCAGCGCCGATTGGCACGCAGCTGCATTGGGCGGCAGCGAGGCGGCATTCAGCTCATCCACATGAGTGGCTGCGATGCCGTGGAGCAGGTGAGTGTAAGCAGTGCCCCGGAGCACCAGCAGGCTGCGCGGTTCCACCAGCAGCGAGGTGATGGGCTGTGGAGGCGGCCGGGGCTGCGGGAGCCGGTTGATGGTCAGTAGATATCCCGAGTTTGAAAAGTCAGCAGGAGTCAACAGTTGCTCAGGGGACAAGGGTCGGCAAGCCCCCAGGGTGGGTGAAAGCTTTGGTGGCTGAGGAGTGGCAATCTACAGGTTCTGGGGACAAGGCTATTGGGGAAGGAAGCCCTGTGTTTAAGTGGGGAGGACGCGGGGCCTACGCTCCGGATGAAGACATCAAGGGTCACTATACTGTGAGAACTTCAGCTGGCATCCGAGAGACTGGGACAGATCCATGCAGGGGTCAGCTGGGAGTACACTCACTGCTGGGGCCAGGCTCAAAGGGCGTGGTCAACGCCAGGACTGGGATGTTAAAGACCTGGTAGCCCAAGGTGTTCTAGAGCATGGGGGAGCATGTAGAGCTAGGGGAGGCTTCAGTCAGGAATGGTATTGCAGGAGGCCTGAGTGGGAGGAGTGAAAAGAGGGTAGTGCTCAGAGGGGGCTGGGAAATATCAGGCCCTGTGTTCAGGCGGGGATTCTACAAACACTGGGGTATCAAGAATGCATGACTTAAGGGCCACAAGACAGAGATCGGGGTGTTAGGTGTGCCCAACACAGCCATGTGATAATGAATTGAGGAAGTCTTGGGGTCACAGAGCATATGACCAGAGCAGCAAGACACCAATGTTGAGGTGCCCTGAACGTACTACACAGTATATTGGAGCCAAGCATGGGGGCACATGCCTGTAACCCCAGCACTTGGGAGGATGGGGGGCAGGAAGATGGCAACTGTGAGGCCATCCTAGACTACAGAAATACTCAAAAATAAACAGGAATAATTTTTAAAGAGTTTGGTGGAACACTCTGTTGAGATCAAATGGTTTGTGGGTGTGTCACAGTCATGGAACACCCCAAAGAAGTAGTAGGGATCTGTGGACATTGTGGCATCCAGAGCATCACACAGGCCAACTGGTCGGGTACGGGTGGGCTGGCTCTCCGGGAGAAAGTAGGGATGCCCAGCCAGGGGCAGGGAAACATGTCTGGGCGTTAGGAATCGTCTGGAGACAGGTAGAATCAGACTGTCCTGGAGTATATGGGATGTCAGGTGTTGGAATGCCCCAAATGCGTGGGATGTTATCTTAGGACCCACCTGTTCTATGGGGACATCATCCTCTGGCTGCCGAGGTTCATAGAAATCAAGGACAGTGTGGGAGCCCAGGCTGATGGTGCTGACGGTTGGGTAATACAGTGGTCCATCTTCATGAGGCTGGGGAGGAAAGGGGCGCGAGGGATGGCCAGGGCAGGAGCCTACCCCACTCCATTAAATCAAAGTGGGGTTCCCAAGCTGGGATAAGGAGTTAAGTGCCTAGGTAGGATGTGTAGCTGCTCAGCGAGGGGGCAAACATAAAGGTTACCCTTCCTCTTGACGATTTGGAGATCTGGGGGAGGTAGGTACCAAGGGAACTGGGATGAGGGTATGTGGTTACCATGATGCCCTCCCCAGGCAGATACTGGTTCACAAGGACATGGTTAGCTGGGAGACCCCCAAAAAGGCTGAGGTCAGACACTTTGTCCACATAGCGCTGAAGCCATGGAGGAAGTCGCTCAGGAACCATTCCCCGGGGATGGGGGAGCCCACCTGCAGAGTACAAAGGAGCCTTGGCATCTGGCGTCCCCATTAGGGATACTCCAGTGGTTGGAAGCATCCCTCCCCACTGAGTTTTGGAGACCACTACTGACCTTTCTGAAGTTTTCTTCAAAGCACTTGGCCCTTAGAGATACTCTCAGACACTCAGTAAACCCCAATCCCTCAAGGTCACCACCAAGCCCTGAATCATCCTGGATCTGGGCCCCCTGGAGTGCTTGGAGAGAGCTCCACATTTTGAAACCATTGGAACTGAGCCCTTCCTCACATCCTTAGCTAGGAACACTTACCCCAATTCTGCAGCTTTCTTCCAGACAGCTGGGTCCACTTTGGCTTTGGGGCATTGAAAACCTAGGAGGTGGGGGAATAGGTTTTCAGGATCTTCGCACGAACACTGGCACAGGGGCTTTCTAGTGGGGGCAGAAACAGGCTCTCTGGAGCTTGTCTGGAGGTTCCAGTTGGGGACAGCAGCTTTTTAATATAATCTGGCTGAAGAAGAATGATCCTCCACTATCAAGAGTTTAGCTTCAGCTGGGCATGGTGGTGCACTTTTAATCCCAGCACTCAGGGGGTAGGCAGAGGCAAGCGAATCTCTGTGAGTTTGAGACCAGCCTGGTTTACAAAGTGAGCTGTTACAGAGAGAAACCCTGTCTCAAAAAACAAACCAAACAAACAAACAAAAAAAAAAACAAAGTTTCACTCTGAGGTGGATACTCATAAAGACATGGGAAGCTCAGGGACTAGCCAGCCAATCAGCTACCTCGACCTTGGCAATCAAGGGGTAACAGATGTCCTATCCAGACTGTACCCACAGCCGGAAATGGGATTCTTCTCCTGGTGTGCTATGTTCCCAGATTTTTTTTTCCATTGGATAGGGTCTCTGTAGCCCAGATTGGCAGATTGGCCTTGAAATCCCTACAGAGAAGGGTGAGTGACTGTGAATTCCTGACTCTCCCACACCCACCTTCCCAGTGCTGGCATTATAGGCATGTGCCACCACACCCAACTTGGGCGATCACAACTAGGGAGAATGAGCTCTGAAACTTTCTTGTTCCCAAAGCTCTAGGGTTGCTCTAAGCTGTTCCTGTCAGGAATGTGATCTCAACAACACTCTTGTTTTAGAGGTTAGACTGGGCTACCTCAATATAGAGAATGTGGGTTTCACAACTGCATCCCTGGGCTGGTGGAGGTGTGCCTCAATGGTAGAGTGCATGCCTAGCATGCAAAGGCCCAGATCCCACACCCCCTCCCCAGCAGGATCACACACACATGCTCACTTGCACGCACGCATCGCATCCTCCTTCCAAAGAATATATTTGCTTTTCTCCTAAGCCTCTACAGAAGGCTTTATTTTGTTACTTTGCTGTCTTGTTGCAAACAAGAGCTCACTAGACAGGACTGGAGAGCTGACTCAGCGGTTAAGAGCACTGGCTGCTCTTGCAGAGGACCCAGGTTCACTTCCTAGCACCCACCTGCTGGCTCACAACCATCTGTATCTCCAGTTTCAGGGGATCCGATACATCTTCTAGCCTTCTCGGGCACTGTGCAGAGGCAGTACACATACATACATGCAGAAAAAAAACACTCATACGTGTGAAAGAGTTCTTTAAAAATCTAAGAAAACTAGGCGGATCTCTGTGAGTTCAAGGCCAGCCTAGTCTACAAGAGTTAGTTCCGGGGCTGGAGAGATGGCTCAGAGGTTAAGAGCACTGGCTGCACTTCCAGAGGTCTTGAGTTCAATTCCCAGCAACCACATGGTGGCTCACAACCATCTGTACTGAGATCTGGCGCCCTCTTCTGGCGTGTGGGCATACATGGAGGCAGAATGTTGTATACATAATAAATAAATCTTAAAAAAAAAAAAAAAAAAAAAAAAGAGTTAGTTCCAGGTAAGGCTCCAAAGCTACAGAGAAACCCTGTCTCGAAAACCCTTACCTCACCCCCCACACACACAAAAGTCCTGAAATTTGGGATTCTCCTGCCTCAGCTTCCCTCTTGCTGGGATTACAAGTATGTGTCACAGCTGGCTCAGAAAACTCTTTGGGACAGACTAAGCAATGGCTGAAAGAGAGACAGAAGCATGAGGGTGCTGAGACACTCTCCTCGTCAGGGTTTTCACTGGTGTTGCACGCGTTCATACGGGGACTGAATGTCTGAATGTTGGAGAGGAATATGGCACGACGGGAAAGATGGACAAGAAGGGCACGGGGGTCACCTGTCGAAGCAAATACTCCTCTTCTTCCTTAGAGATGAAGTCGGGGACATAGTAGATTAGAGGCGGTGCCTGTAATGGAGAGACTGCCCTTAGGATGACGGTTCTTAACCTGTGGGGTCTTGACCTCTTTGGGGTCAAATGACCCTTTCTCAGTGACCACCACAGACCACAGGAAAACACAGATTATTTACATTACGAGTCACAACAATAGCAAAAGTACAGTCATGAAGTGGCAATGAAATAATCTTATGGTTTGGGGGTCACCACAGCATGAGGAACTGTACTAAAGGGTCTCAGCGTTAGGAAGGTTCAGAACCACCGCCCTAGGATGAGGCCCTTTGCCCAACAGGAACCTATCATGACTGAGCAACCTTTCCTTTTGGAGAGGGAAAGGCCAGACTCCAGTTCAAGGAAGTTGGGGGTTGGAAGTGGGCGCGGGGCTAGACTCTGAGAAGAAGTGGGGCAGTCTGTCACTCCACCCCACCCTACACCGTTCTGTCCCCACATTCCTCCTCTACACCCCCAGTCCTGCCAACCTGCTCCACCCTGAATGGCTCCAGGGCTGGGACTCTGGTGTCCTGCTCCTCCATGGGTACCGACTCCTTGTGTGCCATCCTGTGGGGAGGGGTGCACCCGTAAGTCCCCAAGCCTCCTATTTCGGCTGTGCCAGCCTTCCTTTCACTTCAGCAGAGGCCAGACCCTACTCTGACACTTCCTATATACTTCAGCCTTTAAAACCAGAGTTCTCCGTTTCTCAAACGTCACCCAGTGAGCCCCCCAATCCCAGCCCCGCTATCAGCAGTCAGCTTACTCCTCCAAGGCTCTGTCCACCGTGCTCCCCGAACCACACACGATCTTCCCAAGCCTCACAGAGAACACCCTCTGAGCCCACACATGAAGACTTTCTCGAAAGCTCCACACGGGCCCCAGAACTCTGCAACCGAAAGCATAGGTACCTCAGAGCCTAAAGACCTTCCTCTCACCTCAGCCCCTTCAGATCAAAACATCCCTGCTCCCCTAATCTGAGCTTTCTCAGACTTGTCAATCCCCCGCCTCCTCTGATCTCCCCACCCGGGACCCTCTCTGACTTCCCTTGCCGAGTGGCTCCTTCACTTCAGCACCCCGGGACCTGAGCAAGACTGCAGAACCTCTCAGCCCCCCGACTCTGAGTGTTAGGATTCCACACTCTGAGCCCCCTTATATCCCCACTTTCAGCCCTTTGGACACTCACCTCTACAGACCCAGACACCCGCCCCCGCCCCCCGCCACAGACACAAACACAAAAACCTGACCGTCCACAGTGTCTCCTCCAATTTCCAGACTCAACACCCTCATGCTCGCCCGCCCCCCAGTCACTTCCGCCCGTCTTCCTGACGCAGGAGGTTTTGGACCACTAAGCATACTCGAAGAAACTCCGGGCCCGCCCACCAGCCAATCGACGTGCTCACTCGGTAGCTGCCATCCTCGCTCAGGGATAAGCTGCGTCCTGCATTCAGGGGCGGGACTTCATCCGGTTCCTACCAATTAGAACTCCAGACCCGAACGACGCCTCCAGCCGGATCCTGCCGACAATCGCAGCGAGGGAGACCCCAGGGAAGGAACCCGAAACGCTAATAATCTTCTGCTGGTCAAGCTGTCACTCTTACGCCATTGACGCCGGGAATTGACTTTAAAGAATGACCTTCCTCCCCCATCCTTACCCAGCGAGGGCACAGGGCAGTAAACCCCCAGAGACCTGACACCAGAAGGCCATAGAAACGTCTTTATTGAAGAGGACAGGAGTCATGCTGAGTTTGGGGACCATGCAGTGAAGGGGCAGTTGTGAGCTGTCCTTGGTGATCAGGGCCCCAGGTGTGCTCTGGACCCACGGGGCCTTCAGGTTCTCCCTCAGGCTGTTGGTCTGGCCCAGGTGCTGTGAGGTCCCTTGGGGCCCGATGACTCAGTGTCTTGGACCTGTGACCGGAAGGTAGATTGGAATAGGGACTCCAAGACTTGGGGTCCTGTGAGAGCCCTGGGGCCCTGCACAAATTAGAAGTCAGAGATTTTGGACTTGGGGGTTCCCTTGAGGATGGGGCCCGAGAAATTTGGAGTTTGGGAGATCAGAAGATCCATGGACTGAGGGCACTGGAATCCACTCTATTCTTGTTCCGAAGGTGGGACCCCCTGTGGGGTCTCCTGGCGCCTGGGAGTCAGGTTTGAGAAGTCCTGGAAGCCTGGGATGTTCTCCTAGCAACAGGTTCCTTCCTCCCGGTCCTAAGGACCTCGTGGTTGGGGGTTTCCTGAGAGTTTGAATTTGGGGTCTTAAATTTGGGATTCCCTGGGGATTTGAAGATTCTGTGACCTGGGTAGGGGGAGTCTTGGGAATTAGAAATTTGGGGCTTTCTAGGGATTGTAGGAGTTGGAGGCATCGGGAATTGGGGGATATATATATATATTCTCTGGAATTTGAACTCCCCGGAATTCTAGAATGGGGGGTCTCCAAATTTGGGGATTCCCCCCAAGGGGGAAGTTATTACTTTTAAAAAATAGAGAATTTTCTGGGAGCCTTGGCCAGCACAGGGGCTGTGGGCCATGTGGGGTGGGCTTCGTACAAGGCACTGGGGTTTTCTCAAGGGTGCAGAGGGCAGGAAGACTTGGTGTCCTGTAATTTATACTTCCAGGACTGGTTTGGTGTTTGCAAATTGGGGGTGTCTGGGCTGGTTAAGTGGGTATCTTCTTCGGGGGTGAGAATAGGGTCTTAGTGAATGGGGTATCTGATAAGGAGATTAGCGTATGGGGGCTTTCAGGTGACCTTGGGGTCACAGCATCTCGAGGAGACTGATGTTGGATGGGGACGGTGATGTGGACGGCTGTTCTGGAGGTATGACCTATGCTTAAGGAGAATGGGGGTGGGCCTCTGATCCACTGCTGAGTGACTCAAGAATGTCCTGTCGTGGAGAGGGCCAGCATCACTTGGGTGATGTGGAAATGTGTTTATTGGGGGAACTCTGCTCTGAAGGGTAGGGGACAGGGACTAGCCTGAAGGTGCTACTCAGGGAATCTCTTTTGCGGTAACATGAGGTCTGTGTTTGGGGAGCTGTCATGGGAGATCTGTTAACAATGGGACCTCAGTAATCGAGGGCTGGCTAACAGGGGGTTTCTATTCTGGAGGTATCACTGGGAGTCTCTATCTTGGGGTGACTGGGGGGGGGGCTCCTTGAGTCAGGAGATGCTAGAGGGGATGCTGTCTCTTTGTCAGGTATCCAGGGCCTCTAGGACTGCATCTCCGCCCTCAGCATCCAGGGAAACCAGCAGCAGAAGAGTAATCTGAAAGAGGGAGAAGCAGGTCACACAGGGAGACAGGCGGGGACATCTGGCTCCCTCATCCACGCCTGTGTGTGGCACTCTGCCTCTGGCTGTGCCTTCTTAGGCTTGTGCAGTGTGGTGTGGTGTGTGTACATGTATGTGTGTGTATGTGCATGTGTGTGTGTGCATGTGTGTGTGCTGGGGTCTCTACTTCCTTCAGCTGAAGTCTCCACAAGTCAGTCAAACCCTTCATTCTAAAGATGGTCTCTCTCTCAAACTCACAGAGATCCACCTGCCTCTGCCTCCCAAGTGCTAGGATTAGAGGTTTGCAACACTACCATCTGGCATTCTTTTTTTTAAAGGGATTTTTATGAGACTGTCTCATTGTGTAGGCCAGGGTTCATGGAATTCTTGATCCTCTGGCCCTCTGGGTGCTGGGATCATAGGCATGCACCACCACATCCGTACTCACAACTTAACTTCCATTTCCAGCCCACGTAGGGCTGTGGATACCCATAGCCAATGGCCTTGTAGCTATCTCTACCATTCTGCTAGACGGTTTGCCACGCACCTGGAGATAGAGTTCTCTGATGCAATGTCCTTTGGGGTCCGGACTGTTGTGAAGGTGCGTTTGGGCTGTGTCACTAGAGAGGAAGGCAAGGTTCCAAGTGAGGTGACAGTAGACTCAGCCGGGTTATCATCCCATGCCCTACTCTGTCATGGTATCTGTCCATGTCTCCAGGCCTTGACCAGATTCATTCAGTTGCCATATGCATCTGGACCTCCAGTCATAAATACTTGCTCTGCCTCCCCCCCCCCCCGCCAGTAATTACCCATGCCTCCAAAACTTCCATTGACTCCTGCTTAGAGCCTTGGGTTTTGTTAGTTAGGTTGCTTTCTCACTATGTAGTTGAGGTTCATCTTAAATTCACGATCCTTCCCCCTCAGCTCCATGAATGTTGGTCTTATAGATTTCTGTGTGTGTGCACACGCACATTGATGTTTTGCCTGCATGTGTGTCTGTGTCAGATCCTCTGGAACTGGATTTACAGGCAGTAGTGGGCCACTGTGTGGGTGCTGGGAATTGAGCCCGGGTCTTCTGGTAGAACCAGTGCTCTTGACCTCAGAGCCAACTCTCCATCTCCACAAATAATAGTCTGTGGTTTTTTTCTCAGTGCTAAAGATGGAACCCAGGGCCTTATGCATGCTGAACCATACCCCATCCCAGATCCTCACTGGCACATTCATCTTTTCTTTTCTTTTTTTTAAAATATTTATTATTTACTTATTATGTATACAACATTCTGTTTGTGTGTATGCCTGCAGGCCAGAAGAGGGCACCAGACCTTATTACAGATGGTTGTGAGCCACCATGTGGTTGCTGGGAATTGAACTCAGGACCTTTGGAAGATCATGCAATGCTCTTAACCACTGAGCCATCTCTCCAGCCCCTTCTTTTGGTTTTTCGAGACAGGGTTTCTTTGTGTAACTTTAGAGCCTGTCCTGGAACTCTCTCTGTAGACCAGGCTGGCCTCCAACTAACAGATATCCACCAGTTTCTGCCTCCCAAGTGCTGGGATTAAAAAGGCATGTGCCACCACTGCCCGGTTCTCATTGGGAGATTCTAGGGAGGGACTCTACCACTGAGCCACACCCCAGCCCCACACTGGGGGATTCTAGGCAGGTGCTCTACCACTGAGCCATGCTCCAGTCCCTCATTGGGTGATTCTAGGCAGGGGCTCTATAACTAGACTATATTCCAAACCCTCATAGCCTTGTTAACCTTCCCTTATCTACAGTACCTATCTTCCCTGGGACCCTACCTTAGATTTTTCTGGGCACGTGTATCAAATGAAATGCCAGAGACTGTTACTAGCATACCTGAGAACCTACAGCCCTTCTCCCAAGACCCACATCGCTCCCTGCATCCCAGCCTCCAACTCACTTGTCACTTGATGCACTTTTTTGGCTCCAACACTGTCTCCAGGGGGATCGGTGGATCCACCAATCCTGGGGAGACACAGAAAATTCAGAGCCGTGAAGGATAGGAGCTGCACCCCAGAGAGCCCCAAGGAAAGAGCTATAGTATGACATCCACCATGGTGTCCTGTCTGTCCAAGAAGAGGCCATCTGAGGGGAGGCGTGGGCTCTAGGTGGCTTCCCGAGTTGAGGGGCAGAGTAAGACTCACCTCTGGATGCGTGAAGCTGGTGCAAAGACCCCATGTCGTGGGGCGCAGGTAAAGTACCGAACTCCAAACACAGAGCCATCATGTTTGCCTGTGGGTTGGTCCAGCTCGATGCCATACCAGTAACCTGCGGCAGGGCATAGTGAGCAGGCCTTAACCTCAGTGCTGAGCATGGAACCCAGGCCCTTACACATCATAGCCACACCCCAGCCCAGACTCCCACCTCACCTGGAGCAAAGTCAGTCTTCCCATAGAAGCGCACAATCCCCTGCTTCTGGCCCGCGACAAGGACTTGGTCTCCAACTTCAGCCTTGGCTCCTTCACGCTGCTGTAGGCTGCCCAGAGATGGGGAAGACGGCGACTTCTTCTTCCCTGGGAATGAAAGGTAAATATATTCAGACCAAAGGAAAACCTGAGGCAGAAGTCAGGAGCCCTAACATTTTCCTTTGAAGATGCAGGGAAGGGAGCTGGAGGTGTGGCTCAGAAGAACAGTACTTGCCTAGCTGACCTCAAGTCCCGAATGACGTTTCTCAGCATGACCAAGAATTAAAAGAATTGAAGGCAGTGGTGTACGCCTATAGTCCCAGGACTCGGGAGACTGGGGCAAGACCACTTGCGTCAATGTGGTTGAGAGCAGCCTGTGCAACTCAGGGGGACTTCATCTCAAAGGGCAGAGCTCAACTCAAGTGTGAGAATGTGAGCTTGGATCCCCAGCACCCAGGTGAAAAGCCATGTGCAGGGATGCACTGAGAGGGCGGATCCCTGGAGCCTGAGAGCTGGCCAGCCTAGCCAAATGTATGATCAGGTTCAGTGAGAGAAAGCGAAAGCTG